TACGGAAGTCTGAATTTTGGAAAAATTGTCTGCAGGAGATCTAAAGAATCCGAACTTATCGATCCCAGCTGGCACTATAGCAGCTCAGCTGACAACTTCATTTATTTATTTCTCACTGGCGTTGGTTTTTGGCGCAGCAATTGATGGTGCTGTGCTGCGAGACAAGTAAGCACTAAATCGTTCAGTTATTCTACATGGACTTATATGTCTACACGTTTACAGTCTTCGACCTTTTGCACATATTCAAATTCATTTCAAAAAATAAACAGGTTGGCTGATGATTTATTCAGAAGGCAATGATACTGCTGTTGCAGTGACGCTAAATCATTCACGGCCTACTGTAGTGTGGTCGAATTTAGTCAGACGGTAACAAATTTGACCGGGAGGATATTGAGTCAGGTTCGTAACCTTACTGAAAAAGTGCTAAAAAAATAAGAACTGCGTTACTTTATACGTGCTCATTATCCCGTCTTATGACCTCTAAATTCGAAACAAATCTACATATGCGCTTCCGCATATTATGCAAATTTTAGGCATTATGACAAGACTGGATCTCGTTATGTCTAGTTCCCTATTCGGGCAGTTTACTTCCAGCACTGGGATGGCTCAGATATTTGAAGCTTGGAGTCTTTGACCTTCTGCAGGATTGCAGACCAAAATCGAATTACATCTCCCTCACTCTCTGTTTCTTTTTCTCTCTTTCTCCGTTCTTATCATTAACATCAGGCCTAAAATAAGGCTAATTTTACAAGTTCAGAGCCAAGAAAGATATCCGCAAGCAGTGAGTAATTCGAAGAGAACTGCAAGCATAGATGCAGACACCAAGCAATTCATGGCAAGCGCAGCAAATTTCTAGCTTCATTCTGTACCGACTTATGACCTAATATCAAGTCCAGAATTTCAGTGCTTTGTGTGCGGTACACAAAATGAAAGAAATTCATTATAAAGCCTTACGTATTGATTCCATTATCGACTGAGGCACTCGCATCCTATTTTTGTTCCATGTTTGAAACTTAAATGCAATATTTCGCGGGTGTAACGGCTATTCACCAAAAAAGTTTTTGATTTTTCCCGTGAATCTCTTTGTAGGTATGGGCAGTCACTGCGTGGAGGAATGATTGTTGCCAATTTATCTTGGCCAACGGAGTGGCTTTTGCTGATTGGCTCATTCCTGTCAACTTTCGGTGCAGCACTTCAATGCCTCTGCAGTATGCTAAAATTTTCGTTTGCTTTGCACTGATTTGTGTTTGGACATGTAAATAACTCCAGAACCACAACATAAAAGGGACTCCATCTCAAAGACTCGTAGCGCCGTCTGGGAAGCATCAAAACGTGAA